TCTTGGCAGCGATTGCAACCGAGGTAATAGCGAGAAAGAGTAGTAGCACTTTTTTATATAAGAAAAGTCACCGATAGTGTATGCTATTATCTAACTTACGCAAATATTTAACTTTCTTCAAATTATGTAAAACTAAAAAATATATCAAGTTTTTTAGTTTTACTTTCACTTGAAAAATGCATTGCGGCAACAATTCCTTTAGATTTGATCTGTAGCGCTTAATTCCGTTTGATTAAGATTTTATTATTTTATATAGTTTTAAAATTTTTCATAATCGTTGAGATGGTGTAGCCTAATATTAAATATTTTTACAGCAGTTGAAAAAGAGCTTCTTATTTCAGTAGAGAACCTGAACAAAAAGTTAGATACAAATAATGCCTTAATAAGTCAACTTATTGGAATGCTTAAACAAAACAGGGAAGCAATTTTGGTTGATGAACCTTTCGAAATTCCAGTAAATGATGAGTCAAGCTTACTCAAATTAAACGAAAACATCGAATCAGATAAGAAAGTTATGAATGCACTGGTAAGTGTGAGCCATACATTTATTCGTTGTTTTTTTATTTCTTTATACAAAACATTTTAAAAGTATTTTTATTTTGAATTTACAGTTTAGTATTAAATAAGTATTTTACAAAGTTAAATAAAATTGTTGATGAAAGACAAAGATGGTTATCATGTATAATGTGTATGTAAATTTTAGAGCATGAAATTGGCATCCCATGGTGGCTCAACAATTAAGAGGACTGTTTGGAATTTAATTCCAATGGTGATTGGCACCAATATAGAAAAAAAAATAAATTGGTCAGGAGCTAACAATAAGCTTGCTTTGAAAACAATGCCTTTAAAAAAAGTTTTATTGGGTAAGAAGAAATTTCATTCTATGTATAACATTTGTATAAATATATATATTATGCTGATTCAAAAAACAACTTTTTTTTATATAGTCCGTTCCTCAAACGTAAATGTATTTTATATAATAAAAAACAAGATTTAAAATTTTGGTGCTGGAAAACAAATATTAATCATTCTATATGCAAATTATTTTTTCAAAATTTACTGCACATAAAGTTAAAAAAAAAATGTTTTTTTTTAACTTACAAGATAAAGTAAATATTAATTATTTTTAAATCTTGTGTTTTATTATATATTTATTTTATCTTGTGTTGATTATAATTATTTTTAACATTTAGTTGTGCATCTTTTGAGTACTGGCTGACATTTTGATTTTTTTCCCAATAATATTAGGAACTCGGTACTTTTGCAACCCCTAAAAATATTTTTTGTTTAAAAAACTTCAAATTTAGCGTTATTAATGCCATAAATTATCGTGATTCAAAAGCGACTTTTTTTTAAATAGTCCACTGTTCAACCTTAAATGTGTTCTCTATAATAAAATTTTATTATAGAGAACACATATTAGGTTGAACAGTGGACTATTTAAAAAAAAGTCGTTTTTGAATCACGATAATTTACACAAATATGTTTATATGTATAGTAATATATATATATATATATATATATATATATATATATATATATATATATATATATATATATATATATATATATATATATATATATATATATACATTTATATATATATATATATATATATATATATATACATTTATATATATATATATATATATATATATATATATATATCAACTATTTTATATATATATATATATATATATATATATATATATATATATATATATATATATATATGTATATATATATATATATATATATATATATATATATATATATATATATATATATATATATATATATGTATATATATATGCATATATATATATATATATATATATATATATATATATATATATATATATATATATATATATATGTATATATATATGTTTAATTATTTACTAATGTATACATAAATATATTCCATATATACAATGTAGTCACACTGTTTAGATGCTGTTAAAATAAATCCTTCGACTTCAGGAGCAGTGTCTGAAGAGGTTGAACGTTGGATAAAAAGATACTTTCAACTTTCCGGTGATCGAAATGGCGGCCGTAAAGCTCGGGAAGATCTTAAAAATTCGTTGCAAAAATAAATATTTGATTCATTCAACGTTTTTGTTTTTATTATTTCATTATTAATTAAAACACTTTTGGTTTACAATAAATTTCAAATATACTTATTTGTTTGAATTTTATGGAATAACACATTTTCACGGAAACGGCTAATAATAACGTGCTAGTGTATGTAGTAAAAGTATCTAGTAAAAAGTAACGCTTTAGAGCTGACACGCAAACACGAAAGATTGTTGGAAAATGATCACGGATCAGTACTGTCAACAGATGCTGGCAAGCGATCGCGGGCCAGTGCTGGCAAATAATCGCAGGCCAGTGCTGGCGAACGATTGCGGGCCAATACTGGCCCATGGCTAGCGGGCCAGTGCTGGCCCAATGGCCGTTTTGATGCAGGCCCGTGATCGACGGCCGTCATCGCGCCGTAGTCGCAAGCGGAACTGGGCCAGCATTGGGCCGCTAGCGGGAGGCTGTCTGGGTCATTGCCTTGTAAGACAATGATATTTTGATTTTGTTTATACAGTTTCAGAGTCACATATATTAAATAAAGTAAAAGATAAATTGCGGCAATCCGGCCTGAAATATTATTAATCCGGCCGGGACAGAAAAAACCTAAAAGTCACAAATTCCAGCCGGAATTCCGGTTCATCACTATTTTACACTTAAAACAAATCAATTTATTGAACTTTTTATTTTTAATATAAAAAAATGTTAAAATTACCCTATTTAAAGGTAATAAGGAAACTTTGAGTTTTACAACTATTTGATGATTAGGTTTGAAATAATTAACTATTTCATGACGTTGAACACTTCAAACCGAGTGTGCAACAATAACAAAATTTAGAAAACCATCAAAATAGTATTATACTCCGTATAGTATTGAAAGAATTAACTCGGACGCTATTAACTTATAATGCACGAGGAATCGTTAATGTGCATGCGATAAGTATTTTAATTTCTTATTTAAGTTTTAAAAATCTTTGAAAGATCTTTGAATCCCTTTATTCTCATCATCACAAATAATATAGTTATTAAATATAATTTTATTTATAAATTTACTTATGAATATATTTTATTTCTAAAGTTACTAAAGTTTATTTTTTTTAATGTTTTAGTTAATTAAACATGTTCCGTTTTGTAGGTGATGTATTGAAATTGTTTTGGAAACCTCGACAAGCTGATAATTTCATAGAATCTGAAGATGACTTTATAAGCAAGTTGTTTTTATTGCTTTTGTTTCTTTAGAAATTCAATCATGTTTTAAATAAATCTAATTATTTAGTACAGTGTTATTTTCTAGTGGTGATACTCAGGTTAGATTTTATAAAGTTAAATTTATATTTAAAAAATCTATCAAATTAGATTCTTAAAAAATTTATAAAAACTCAACAAAATTTTTTGCACAAATTGTTTAAATGTTAAATGAGCAAGAATGTTTTGATTGTTTTTTTAATTTTAGTGCCATAGCTTATCACATATTTTAGATTTTAAATTTTAATTTATCTTTATCTTCAGTTTTAATGTTTTATTTTGTTAATTTGATAAAGTCATACACTTACTTAAGGACTGTTTAAATAAAATGTGTTTGTTTTTCTAAGTTGTTGTGAAGTTGCAGTTTGTATTTTTTTGTCATGGCCAGGTTTCATAGTGGAAGACCACAATCGTCATTTTCTAAAAAAAGTTCTCTATATCTAGTATAGAAAAAACATAAACAACAGGTAAATTTGTTTTTAGAGTTTATCTTAAATGATTTTACTCCTTTTACCATGTAGTTCTTTTTTTATTTTTTATTTGAGACATATCTTACAATAGATTGTAATATGCTTGTAATATTGTAATATGCTTTTTCAGCATATTGCAGAACAAATAAACAATATATATATATATATATATATATATATATATATATATATATATATATATATATATATATATATATATATATATATATATATATATATATATATATATATATATATATATATATATATATATATATATATATATATATATATATAATATATATATATAGGGGAGAGCGGGGTTGGTTGTCACGCCACAAAGTTTATTACAGGAAATGTAAATAAGATATAGAAATTTCAAATTATACAATGGAAATGATATATAAAAAAAACATTTTTACAGTAATTTTTATCTTTTTTTAGCGTGCAGAAGAAAAGTTATTCGTTTTTATAGGATTTTGATATGAAAAAGTAAAATTTCGCCTACTCAGAAATTTTCTTTTACCAAACGAAAATTATTTTATTGTGTTTTGAATGTAGATTTATAAAGTACTTTATTCATTTTAGTAACTTAATCCGTAAAAAATTATCATGAAATTCTCACGCTTTTAGGTAAATGTACAGGTGTCCAGCAACTTACTCAGAAGGGGTTGCTTGTCACAAAATATATGGGGATGGTTGTCACACTTGCCTCGACTCCATGCGCTGCAAATTAAACGCCGCTTGCAGAATATTTGGTGGCTTTGTTTATTTTCCGCATTATTGAGGAATATTTTAATGTTTAAGATATTATTTAAAAATCTAAAGTCAAAGTGTTATATTTGTTTAACTAAATATCTGTAATCTAAATTATTTTTATTTCAACGTGCATAACTTTAGATTCCGATCCAATGTTTAGTATAATTATAGAAAAAGGATTGCAGAAGTTCAACTGTTTATTGTTTTGTTTACAAACTAAACAACTAGCTGTTGTTTAGTTTGTAAAACTGTCTGTTGTTTTGTTTGTGCATTGTTTATATTTAGTGGGTTTATATATATATATATATATATATATATATATATATATATATATATATATATATATATATATATATATATATATATATATATATATATATATTATATATATATATTAATGTTTTGTTTACATTATTTGCAAATATTTTTATTTGCTTAGTAATAAACATGGTACGAAATTTTAAAAGAAAAACTAATAGAGGTTATATTTCTGGAGATGTCATAATGTGTGCTGTTAAAGATGTAAAGATTAATAACATTTCTATTAGATCAGCAGCAAAAAACCATGGCATTAATTACAGAACATTAGCACGTTATTGTAAAAAAATTATTATTACTAACCCATCACATGGTTCTATAGCAGATCTAATTGACAAAATTGAAAACCACACCTCCCTTAATGTTATAGGATACAAAAGTCGATTGATATTGCCAGAAAAAGTAGAAAAAGAACTGGTCACCTACCTGTTGCGAGCAGCAGATATATATTTTGGTTTAACTCCTACCGAAGTAAAAAAGCTCGCATTCCAGCTAGCAATTAAAAATAATATGAAGGTTCCCAATTCTTGGGTAGTAAAGGAACAAGCTGGTAAGGATTGGTTTACAGGATTTATAAAGCGCCATTCAAATATTTCCATTAGGCAACCTGAAGCTACTAGTTTAAGTCGAGCGACAAGTTTCAATAAGCAGAATGTTGCATCATTTTTTAGCAATTTGCAGCACTGTATGCAAAAATACTCGTTCTCACCAAATGACATTTGGAACATGGACGAAACTGCTGTAACTACTGTACAACAACCTAAAAAGGTTATTGCGAAAAAAGGATTAAAACAAGTAGGAGTCATCACGTCAGCTGAAAGAGGAACTCTTGTAACATTAACATACATAATAAATGCTATTGAAAATAGTATTCCACCCTTTTTTATTTTTTCTCGTAAAAACTTTAAAGATCATTTCCTAATCAGTGCACCAACAGGAAGTGCAGGAGATGCAAATCCAAGTGGTTGGATGAAAGAAGAAAACTTTGTAAAATATCTAAAACATTTTGTAGGCAATACAAAATGTACTAAAGAAAAGCCTTGTTTATTGTTGCTTGACAATCACGAAACTCATCTTAGTATCGAAGGATTAGATTTGGCAAAAAATAATGGAATAGTAATGCTTACCTTCCCACCACATTGCACACATAAGTTGCAGCCCTTGGATAAGGCAGTTTATGGTCCTCTCAAAAACTACATAAATACTGCTATGACATCATGGTTAGTAATGAAACCTGGATAAACTGTTACAATATATGATATATCAAAAATAGTAAACATTGCATTTCCAAAGGCTGTATCTCCCCACAATATTTTAAGTGGTTTTTCTGCAATAGGTATTTACCCGTTAAATTCTGATGTGTTTACTGAAAATAATTACTGTCCTAACTATGTAACTGATCGCCCTGACCCACCTTGTTCACAGGCTGATTCAAATAAAAAAGACTGTGAATCTTATTCAATGCAACCAGAACCATCAAATAAAAGATTTAAAGATACCAGATAATTAGGTAGACATAACAATAGAAGATCCAGTTGTATCAAATAAAACCTCTAATCAGAACCCAATCACAACATTAGGTTTTAACAATTCAATCATACCACCTGAGAGTATTAGGCCTCTGCCTAAAGCAGGCCCGAGGTTAGCATCAAAAAGAGGTAGAAAAAAGCGGTCAACTATGATTCTTACTAACACGCCTGTCAAAGCATGGCTTGCTAATTATAAAAAGAAAAAAACTAATAAAAAAAAATTTACTAATGGAAGTAAAAAAGAATTAATAAAATCAAATCTTGCTACGAAAAAGCCTTCTATAGTCTTAAATTCATCTGAAGATGAAGAGTATCTGTGCATCTATTGTTTTGAATCATTTTCTAACAGCCGATCAAGAGAACAGTGGATTCAATGTCAGGTTTGCCAAAAATGGGCTCATGAAGAATGCACACCAGGCTTACAACAGTTTATTTGTGAATTGTGTTCTTTATCCAATAATTTTTAAAAAACCAAACCTAAAAACATTTATAGTGATAAACTAAATTTGTTAATTGTGTTATATTTAAAATATATATATTTCAGTTTATAGTATTTTATTTTTATTTTTCTTAGTAAAACATAAACGAAATTAATTTGTACTCGTTTTACATTAAATTCTTATCTAAACTTGTCAAAATCCAAATGTGACAATCAACCCCGCACCATGTGACAACCTACCCCGTGAGCGGGGCTAGTTGTCACACAGAAGTGGTCTTTGAAAAATGATTTTACAGCAATAAATATTTCACTCAATGTCATAAAAATATTATAATAGTTACTGGAAATAGTTAAACTAGCTTTGTGCAAAGTTAGGCATTGATTGGATGAAAATTAAAAGCTGAGCAGCCTAAAATGTAAAAAGTGTGACAACCAACCCCGCTCTCCCCTATATTTCTAATAATTACAAGTCTTTTTTGTTCAAGCTGTTTTGTTTTGATTTTTTTTTTAGGTATGATATTATATTTAAAAAATTGACAAGATTGAAAAAACACAAAACATATCGACATTCAAGGGGAACGTTTGAAACTTCAATTTTAAATTTGCTCCTTTCTTGAAAATTTCTGATTGCTAAAATTACATAAATCGTTGAAACTAGAATTTTTTTTTTATATGTGACGTCACTGTGAGGCAAAAAAACTAGAAAAACAAACTGGAAATAAGATTTTTTATTTAAACTTTTAAGGAAAACCTCTAAAGATATGTGGATTATATTTTTATGGGATATATTTTAATAAAGACTAAAACTATTTATTTATTACTGTTGTAATAAATACAAATTCTTATTCGTGAAATGATATATCTGCACCAGTTTTATACCTTGTTGTGCGATCGTATGCATCATTATTAAAATTAATCAAAAAATGTAACATAAATGCAAAAGGATGCATAAAGGTTTTTTTTGCCACAAACTGACGTCCATGCTCAAAAACATTTTTGGCTTAACTTTTAGATTAGCGTTTTATATTATTCTTTAGTTTTTGATCACAGTCACGAGAAATTGTTATGATGAGTAAAAATCCTTATTAAGGATAAAGTTTTTGTTATGGCTATGTTTAATATAATTGTTTAGTTTTCTATCATAGTCATAAGAATTAAACTTTTTTTTATGTTTTAGTGGTCTAGGATCATCTTAATTCCATTTGTATAATGTTACATACAAACTTAAGAAGTGTCCAAAATTGGATTAATAAAAAATTGATTTTTTAGATTAAAAATTTTAAAATCTATTTTTTGAAAACATGAGGGTTATTGATTTGAAAAATATTTATTTTAAAAATTATTCATTTCGCTCATATAAAACGTTTTTATCGGTAATAAATACATTTTTTAAACTAAAAGCGATTTTTGCGGACAATTTGACATGTTTTTAAAATAACCTTTTACACCAGTCAAAAGTCTTAAAACAAAAGTATAATTACTTATTAAAGTTATTTTATCTCTTAAAATATGGAAAATATTTTTAAAACAAAAATATTCTAAAAATTTTAGTTTTACAACTAGAAAACAATTTTTTTAGTGGGTTTAAAAAAAAAAATTTACTCATTTTTGCAAAAAGTTGCCTACAAAAAAAGTTCCATCTAGTTCCAACCTAATTTTTGTATCAACACCTCACTAATAGTATAGAAAATTAACATGCAAGATTTTAGCTGCACTTTATTGCACTTTATTGAGTAATGTTTAAAAGTGTCATATATCTAAAGGTTAATATGGCTAAATTTGTATTTATTTTAAATCAATATCAAGTATGTTCTAATTAAAGACAACTAGATTTTATAATTGTATTTTGTCGGGGAGTTAGTATTTCTTTGGAAATAACTAGTTCATTAAAACTATTTGTTTTTATATACAAATACATTTTATACATATTAAAATTAAATATACATTTTATATCCTATTCAATATAAATCTTGCGCTAGAAATGTACAATAAACAAAAGTAAATTCAACAAAATTGTTCGATAACTTTTTATGTGGATGACATAGCTTCTGCTATGTATGTTCCAATTGACTTCATAATTTATGTTCCAATTGACTTCATAATTTGCACACACAAAAAAAAAATATATATATATAGTGGTCATATATTGTTTTTAATATCAAAAATGAATTCTTTGACCCAGAAAAACCTTAAAAACATGTTAAATATTAATTTTTTTGATAAATCATTATTTTAGACACTTTTTATGGTTTCTGACGTACTGTGCGTCAGAAAGTGTAAACGTCGTAAGCATATTTTGAGTTTGCAGGCATTTTATGGATTAATCGCGAATAATGTATCTATAAAATGAGAAAACTTAAAATTTTATTTTAAATTTTAGAAATCTTTTTTACTAAATCATTATTTTTTTTGCTATAAATATATAAGGAAGATTGAAAGAATTTTATAACTTATTACGCTAAGAGGTGGTCCTAAACCCCCCAAAACAACACTGGCGACAGCGCACCTAACCACTGAGCTATCAAAAAAATGCATTCAGCAGAAAAACAAATCTAATTATAAGTCTCTTTTAGGCTCTACGTGCTCCTAATGTTTTTTTTCAGCTCTTAATGTTTTTTTTTCAGAATAAATTATTTTAGTAAAAAATATTAAAGTAAATAAGGAATAGATATAGAAATATTTTGTGTGGAATACATATGTAAATTGGTAAAGACCTGCGTTTTATTGATCCGGAAAGCTAAGATATATAAAAAAAATAAATAAAAAAGTTCGGTTTGGAATTGGTCGAGTCCGAACTCAATCAGTTTGTTAATAAATGTATAAATAAAAACATCTTTAATTTTACAAAGCTACTAGGCATTTTTTGGAAACCACAATCCGCAATGATTTGTATTTTATCTATGTGAACATTTTACTTGAAAGTTTCATTGCAGCAATATCTCCTTAGTTTTGACTTTATAAATTATTTAAATTTATAAAACGGCATATAATTATACCAATTATATGCTTTTTTGATTATACCAATTACATGCCTTTTATGAAGTTTTATAAATTTAGTTTAATAAGTCTTACGTTTATTAAACCATGGAAGTATAAAACAGATGGAAGTTCATCGAGCCGCAATCATCAAAGCAATTTTAAGTCGTTTTGGGAGTATGTTTGTAACCGACAATAAAAAAAAAAACAAGTTTCACTTAATAAAAAAACAACGAAATTCACTGAAATGATCTTTATTAAAACATTAAAAAATAAATTATTTTAGGGATATGCTGCAAATTTTTAACCATTAGTAGTTGCAATTATTCAGCAAAAGGTTTATTAAAACTCGGTAATTAAATAGAACCACTTGATTTTAAAAGCATATGTTAGTTTAAGCTTCTTTTCTTGCTTCAAGTCATAACACGACATTTGATAAAAAAGACAACTAAAATAATTTTTAAAAAATCAAAAAAATTGTTTTCTAAATAACTAAAGTTTAAAGTTTTATCAGCTTTATATCATAATTCCATTCATTCTTATAGTACTTCATTCATTTAATATGAAGTTTATAAAGAAGCTGTTTGCCGTTTTGTTTTTAATGTTTTTCTTGAATATTATTGGCGAACCTTTATTTTTAAATTCTTATAAACGTTTATTTGTGTCAACGTATAAAGATTAGGCATTTAAGTACAGTCTTGATGTTGTTTTCTTATTGTTTACGAAACAAAAGGTTACGAGCATAGTACCGAAGAATTTCAATGCAGTTAAACTTCCATCTGTTTTATACTTCCATCAACAGATGAATCAAAATCAACAGATGTTTCTTAAACATATTAAAGGATGATATTATTAGCACTTCCAGCACTTTTGGCATGCCAAAGTGCTGGAAGTACTTTGCGTGGGTTCAAATCCTTTTGTTTACTAACTTAATTTTCTTTTAATCTTTTCTATTTTTCTAGAACACAAACTAAGATATTTTTAAAGTCCTTTAGATATTATATGCATAAAATATATAAATATACTAAATATATAACAAACGAAAGGGCGAGAATTTTTAAAAAAGCTTTTTGAAATTTCTAAAAACATTAAAAAGCTTTTTAAATTTTCTAAAAATATGAAAGCACCGTTAGAAATTTGTCATGATTGACATGAGTCATTAATGTGCTTAGTAATTGGTTGTTTGCGCAACTCTCTTATAAAAAATAGATTTTACAAGCAAACTTTTATCTTCCTCAAAACGGGGCGAGAGTCCTAATAAGCTTCAGATTGTCTGAAAAAAAATTGAAACTTATTTAAGAAAAAAAATAGTTAAGGTCCGTATTTGTTTTTTTGTTTTGTTTTTTTTTCGTTTTGTTTTGTTTATTTGTTATAGAAGTTTACAGAAGTTCTTAAGTATTGAACATGATTTCTTAACTCAAAACAAAGATTTATATAATTTGCTCTTTTTAAAAAATTATTGAAATAAAGCGAAGTTTTAAAAATTGTCGGTGTGGACTTACCATGAGCAGTAAATCTGGTAAATCTGGTAAAAATGGTAAATCTGTTATTCAACTTATTTGAGTCATGTTTTTTTGAAACTTCTTAAGGCGAGTTTCCACTCGTCCGTTTTTCAACGGGAAAGGAAAAAATAAGCACGTGAGCATACGTAACAAAAGTTTTTATTTGTCCGAAAGTAAACTGCGTATGATCACGTGATTATTTTTCCGTTTCCTTTCCCTTTCCCGTAGAAAAACGTCATTTGTGTTATTATACAATTAATTTTAAAGGTGAGTTTCCACTCACCTTTAAAATTAATCAAAAAATATAGGATAAATGCAAAACGTTTAAAAGTTTTTTTTTTTACCACAAATGACGTCACTACGCTAATTTTTTTTAGATAAGCGTTTTATAACTAGGGCCGCGTCTATAGTTTTAATGTTTTAAATTCTACCTTTATTTGGCTTTTTATAACAGCGTTACGTACAAATGTCAGTAAGTGTAGCATATATTGTGTTTGAAGGCGCGAGTAAGTGTCACGTAAGGGAGGGGGAAAGGTCATCAAGTCAAATCAAGTCCCCAGGAATTGATGATATCTCTTGCAAAGTAGTGATAGATGTTTTTGAGGAAATACGTAATCCTATTTACCAAATATTTAACTCATCAGTTACAACAGGTATTGTACCTGATATGCTTAAAATCTCAAAAATTATACTAATCTATAAATCAGGAGAAGCCAACTCTTTAAACAATTATAGACCTATTTCAATCCTTTCGGTATTCGCAAAACTTCTTGAGCGAATTATCTACAATAAATTAAATGAGTATTTAAAAACTAATAAAATTATCAATAAAGGTCAATACAGTTTCCAAAAGCGACACGTAACAGAGCATGCAATCCTTGATCTCTCAAATAGGATTAGTAAATCATTTAAACAAAAAAAATTCACGTTAGGAATTTTTATTGATTTGTCAAAGGCGTTTGACACCGTCAACCATGAGATTTTACTGACAAAAATGGAAAATTATGGCGTTAAAAATAAAGCTTTAACTTGGTTAAAAAACTACCTTAATGACAGACACCAGTGTGTTTTTATAGATAAAAAAGCAACTCGAATTTACTGAAAACAAAATGTGGTGTACCCCAAGGGTCCATTCTTGCTCCTCTTTTGTTTCTTATTTACATAAACGATCTCCCAAATGCCTCTAATATTTTCAAAACTATAATTTTTGCCGATGATACAAACTTATTTTACTCATCAAAGACTATTGAAGACTTATTTAAAAAAACAAATAATGAATTAAAAAAAATTAATATATGGTTTAAATCAAACAAACTATCTATCAATATAGATAAAACTAAATATATTCTATTCCACTCTACTCAACAAATTAAAAAGCTTCCCCTTAACCTACCAACAATTACTGTAGAAAATATAACCATTGAAAGAGCTCAAAATACAAAGTTTTTAGGTGTTCTAATTGATGAACACATCTCTTAGAAGCCCCACATCAACTATATAAATACAAAAATATCAAAGAACATAGGTCTACTTTATAAAGCAAGATCTTTCTTGACACAAAAAAGTCTAATACTCGTTTATTTTTCATTTATACATAGTTATCTTATGTATGGCAATATAGCATGGGGCAGTACCCACATAACTAAATTAAAACCGCTTTATCTGCGTCAAAAGCACGCTTCAAGACTAGTGTTCAACAAAAACAAACTTACTCATGCTCAACCCCTACTGGAGCAAATGAACGCTTTAAATATTTTTCAAATTAATATTTATCAAAATATACTTTTCATGTTTAAATATAAACTAAGTCTGGTTCCAGAACATTTTACAGCCCACTTTTTTGAAAACAACGTAAACAAATACAATACAAGAGCAACGGCAAACTTTAAGATACCCTTTGAAAAAACTAAACTCTCAAAGTTTTCAATAAAACATCGTGATCCCTATTTATTTAACAAAATAATTTCTAGAAACCAATCGCTAAAAAATTTAAACAACGAACAGTCCCTAAAAACAAAGTTAAAATCTACAATAATCAAGTTAAACAACTACAAGGAGTTTTTTTAAACTCCAATTTAAAATTTAAAAATGAAAAATAATATAAAACAACCCTAGTTTATTTCTTGGGTAATTTTTACGTTCACGTTACTCTATTGTGTACTTTGTATTTATTTTTATAATGTCTCAAAGTTGAATGTAACAATACTTTAGATTTATCCCTTATTTATTTTGAACTTTATGTTTACGATATTCATATTTGTATATCTTTATTCGCCAGTCGATGATTGGTCAATTGTAAATACTTTGTACTTTGAAATAAACATTTAAAAAAAAAAAAAAAAAAAAAAAAAAAATTAAAGTAAATAAGGAAAAGGCACGGAAAAAAACACAAAAAACTAACAATTTTATTCGTATTTGCACACTCTAACAACAAGTGCAATATATGTCTGCTTTATTTATGCTATCTTTCTAACTCGAATTCTTCAGACTTTTGGTCTATAATCTTTCGTTTTTCTCAAAATCACTTGTTCTTGGTCTGTGAAGCGGCTTACGATGCCATTTAGTGAGCTGAACTTGTCTTTACAGGTCTTTGTAAGTGGGCTCTATATGGTAATTAGTCAGAGAAGGATAAACTACAATACCAATAAAGAATAGGTATAGAATTTATCGGTGTGGAGTATATAAGTAGAGAAATCGTAGATTTGGTTAAGGCCCGTAATTTACGGGTCCGTAAAGTTAGGATCTATATATTTAAGAAAAAAGTATAGAAATAATAATAAATCTCTTCTCTAAAATGGTTTGCGATACTATTTTTTGAAAAAACTTTGCTCTTTAAATAGCAAATAACCTCCTTCGAGAATAATTTATAAAAAACGTCTTTTTCATCTTATCTAATTTTATTGTTTTCATCTTATGGTGTTTTTTTTCATCTTATCGTGTTCATCTCATCTTGAGCGTTTCAAAACTAAGGATGCGCCGAATCAGTTTTTGGTCGAACACCAAATCCGAACGTTCGACCATGATATTTTGCCTAATAACAAATGGTTCAGCAACCGAACTATTGCTAAATTTAAATATAAACATTAGTTATTAAACTCGAAGTGAAAACCAGATTCTATGAGGGAATGATGGAGGTGCAGTCGAAGGCGCTGGTGGTTAATGCAGTTTTAAAAAAAAAATTAATTTATTATAAAAAAATAGTATTTTATATTTTTTTATATTTATCAACTTAATAATTTTAATTCTGTGTGCAAAAAACATCTAAATGCATAAATTGCAGGGCTCAGGGTTATGACATTGTGCCAAATATGACAGGTAAATACAACGGAGCACAAGCTATATTAAAAGAACTGTGTTCTACTGCTATTTTTTCTCCTTGTGGCTGCCACATACTCAACTTATGAGGTAATGATGCTGCTGAATATATTCTAGAAACCATGGCCTATTATGCAACTATGTAAACGATATACACTTTACTCAGGTGTAGTCCGAAAAGGTGGGAAATGTAATCTAAGCGTATTGGTTGTTCACACTTCACGGCATATCTAGTACAAGGTAGTTAGATTAAATAGAGAGTGTCAAAACATTTGAGGTCACCTTCCTGAAGTAAAGCTGGCTTTGGAAGACTTGCTCCAGCTAAATTTTAATCTAAAAACTAGAAACGAGATTCGTGGAGCAGTTTAATATATTAGTGCTTTTACCTGCATCATAATGTCAGTTGTGTGGCACAGAATATTAATTCCTGCTATCATTTGCAACAAAGTCATTTAACACGGTAACGCAACTTTAGAAATAAAAGTTTAAAATATAGAAAGCTTACTTTCATAATTAGTATATATTCGTGATGGTTGGAATTTTAAATCTTGTTGCATCTAGCCTTTCTGTGGATCACCAAAAAATGTCAGAATTAACACATGAAGCAGCTAACTTTGTAAAAGAATTTCACTGTTAATTTGGTTAGCTGAATATTATGAGCGTTTGAATGATGGATTGTTGTAGATAACTGTATTTGTACTTTTTTATTTACTCTTTGTTTAATTTATCTATGAACCTTGTGCCTATTTATATGTGCATGATGTTTAAATTAAATATATTAATAAAAATGAATAAATAAATTTTATATTAAAGTTTAACTTATTTTACCGTAGCTACCAGATACGGTACAAATTTAAAGTTTAAACAAGTTAAATCTGAAATCTAATCTAAGAAAACATAATATATTTTAAAATTTGGCATTTTTTGCGTGTTCGGTCGAACTTTTACCAAGGTTCAGATTAACCGAACGTTCGGCGCTTCCCTATTCAAAACATATCATTTTAACTAACTTCGCCAAGTACTATCATAATTTAAATAGCGTAACAATAGCTTATGTATTATCTCAAATAACCTATGGAATTAGCGGTAGATAAACATTAAAAATTGAGGATTTAATAAATATTTGATGATCATGTTTTGTGCTGACGTAATCAAAAAATATTGAATAGTAAAAAATTATAACGGGGATGGTAAAATTTCAAACCATAAAACAATAAAAGGATATTAAGGGATTTAAAAGGATAAAAAAGGATATATTATCCTTACAACTAAGAAATTAAAATAAATTATACCGTCAAAATTGTAAGAATAAACTTAACTAAAAAAATTTGCAACAAAATCAGTAGTCTACCCGTAAAAAAGATTATACTATCTTAGGAACATGCTCATCTTCTGCTACCTATTCGTATGTTAAACTAGTTAAATCAGTTATGTTTTATTTAAAATTTGATTTTTTTTGGCGTGACACTAAAACTTACATCAATAGAAATTATTAAAAAATACCTACTAAATTGATATTCATTGTTTTTCTCCAGTCAACAGCGTTATAGACTCCAGCATTGTTTACCAATACACTTATTTTTCCATCTAGTTTTTTTTCACTGTTCTCCCATATGTTTTTCATTAACGGTTCGTCGGTAACATCTCCCTCATAGAAAAGACATTGACCTGGATGCGCTTCATTTAACTCTTTTTCAGTTGCTTCGCCAACTTCTTTTAGAATATCTACAATTATAACTTTACCACCACGTTGAACAATAGCCGAAGCAAAACCTTTTCCCAGACCTCTTGCTCCACCAGTTATTAGAAATATTTGATTAAAGGTAAAGGTACTCATTGCATAAAAATGATTTTGTTGAATAAATTTTAGTTAATAATAAAGTTGCGCTTTTTACTTCCTTAACTTTAAAAAACAACAGCACGCTTTGTATTACTAATGTTTTAGAGAATTATTAACACCTACGATATTATTAACCACCTAACAAAGAACTATTAACACCTACGGATTTAGTTTGTAAAAGCAAGGACGTATTATTAGGAAGACGTTTAACGAATTGTTTTAAAGACAAGATATGTGCGTTATCAATAACAATAGCAAGACAATAGAAAATATTTGCGCCACGTGAAAACACTTTTATATGGTTATACATGAAAATGACGACTGTCTCATCAATCCAATTAAATAAAAAAACTTATTCATGTAAATTATTGTGATTAATATATTTTATCATTTTTTTAAAAAATATTACACATACTCAATTAACCTTGTATAACTCCTGCATTACTATATAACAAAAACATTTTAAATTATATGATTACTCTAGAACCCCCCGCGAATTCGTAAAAAAAAAATTAAAATACGGGAATATCAAATAAAACAAAGTTTTGCTTATTGCAAAAAATGATTTTATTTCTGTTTATTTCCGATTCTTTTTTTAATCCTTAAGATTAAATCTTTAAGAGATTAGTAAAATCTTAATGTAGGGATTACCGATTGACAACATTCTCAAGTTCAATATGTAAATGGTTTGAGACAACTCGTAATTCTTTTTACATACAATATTCATATTTGTATATCACATATTGCGTTTTTACAAAAACATTTTTGACATAACAATTAAGTAATTATTAAACAAAGATTTAATTCAATATTATAAGATTTGTCATAATTTGGACAAAGTGTTTTGGTATCAACAACGAAAAACAGCAATTTCTATTTCAGCAAATGTTCCTGCTGCAAACATAAGAGGACATAAAGCACGCGTAAGAGGACATAAAGCACGCGTAAGAGGACATAAAGCACGCGATATTGAGCTCAAGGGAAAAGATTTTAGAAAGAAAAATTTAGTTTGTACACAGCAGTAGTTTTATGCTTTATATTTTGAATATACATATATATATATATATATATATATATATATATATATATATATATATATATATATATATATATATATATATATATATATATATATATATATATATATATATATATATATATATATATATATATAGGGGAAAGCGGGGTTGGTTGTCACGCGGGTTGGTTGTCACAAAGTTTATTACAGGAAATGTAAATAAGATATAGAAATTTCAAATTATACAATGGAAATGTTATATAAAAAAAACATTTTCACAGTAATTTTTATCTTTTTTTAGCGTGCAGAAGAAAAGTTATTCGTTTTTATAGGTTTTTGATATGAAAAAGTAAAATTTCGCCTACTCAGAAATTTTCTTTTACCAAACGAAAATTATTTTATTGTGTTTTGAATGTAGATTTATAAAGTACTTTATTCATTTTAGTAACTTAATCCGTAAAAAATTATCATGAAATTCTCACGCTTTTAGGTAAATGTACAGGTGTCCAGCAACTTACTCAGAAGGGGTTGCTTGTCACAAAATATATGGGGATGGTTGTCACACTTGCCTCGACTCCATGCGCTTCAAATTAAACGCCGCTTGCAGAATATTTAGTGGCTTTGTTTATTTTCCGCATTATTGAGGAATATTTTAATGTTTAAGATATTATTTAAAAATCTAAAGTCAAAGTGTTATATTTGTTTAACTAAATATCTGTAATCTAAATTATTTTTATTTCAACGTGCATAACTTTAGATTCCGATCCAATGTTTAGTATAAATATAGAAAAAGGATTGCAGAAGTTCAACTGTTTATTGTTTTGTTTACAAACTAAACAACTAGCTGTTGTTTAGTTTGTAAAACTGTCTGTTGTTTTGTTTGTGCATTGTTTATATTTAGTGGGTTTATATATATATATATATATATATATATATATATATATATATATATATATATATATATATATATATATATATATATATATATATATATATATATATATATATATGTATATATATATATATATATATATATATATATATATATATATATATATATATATATACATACATATATATATATATATATATATATATATATATATATATATATATATATATATATATATATATATATATATATATATATATATATATATATATATATATAATATATATATTAATGTTTTGTTTACATTATTTGCAAATATTTTTATTTGCTTAGTAATAAACATGGTACGAAATTTTAAAAGAAAAACTAATAGAGGTTATATTTCTGGAGATGTCATAATGTGTGCTGTTAAAGATGTAAAGATTAATAACATTTCTATTAGATCAGCAGCAAAAAACCATGGCATTAATTACAGAACATTAGCACGTTATTGTAAAAAATTTTTTATTACTAACCCATCACATGGTTCTATAGCAGATCTAATTGACAAAATTGAAAACCCCACCTCCCTGAATGTTATAGGATCCAAAAGTCGATTGATATTGCCAGAAAAAGTAGAAAAAGAATTTGGTCACCTACCTGTTGCGAGCAGCAGATATATATTTTGGTTTAACTCCTACCAAAGTAAAAAAGCTTGCTTTCCAGCTAGCAATTAAAAATAATATGAAGGTTCCCAATTCTTGGGTTGTAAAGGAACAAGCTGGTAAGGGTTGGTTGACAGGATTTATAAAGCGCCATTCAAATATTCCCATTAGGCAACCTGAAGCTACTAGTTTAAGTCGAGCGACAAGTTTCAATAAGCAGAATGTTGCATCATTTTTTAGCAATTTGCAGCACTGTATGCAAAAATACTCATTCTCACCAAATGACATTTGGAACATGGACAAAACTGCTGTAACTACTGTACAGCAACCTAAAAAGGTTATTGCGAAAAAAGGATTAAAACAAGTAGGAGCCATCACGTCAGCTGAAAGAGGAACTCTTTTAACATTAGCATGCACAATAAATGCTATTGGAAATAGTATTCCACCCTTTTTTATTTTTCCTCGTAAAAACTTTAAAGATCATTTCCTAATCAGTGCACCAACAGGAAGTGCAGGAGATGCAAATCCAAGTGGTTGGATGAAAGAAGAAAACTTTGTAAAATATCTAAAACATTTTCCACAATATTTTAAGTGGTTTTTCTGCAACAGGTATTTACCCGTTAAATCCTGATGTGTTTACTGAAAATGATTACTGTCCTAACTATGTAACTGATCGCCCTGACCCACCTTGTTCACAGGCTGATTCAAATAAAAAAGACTGTGAATCTTATTCAATGCAACCAGAACCATCAAATAAAAGATTTAAAGAATCTATTCAGATACCAGATAATCAGGTAGACATAACAATAGAAGATTCAGTTGTATCAAATAAAACCTCTAATCAGAACCCAATCACAACATTAGGTTTTAACAATTCAATCATACCACCTGAGAGTATTAGGCCTCTGCCTAAAGCAGGCCCGAGGTTAGCATCAAAAAGAGGTAGGAAAAAGCGGTCAACTATGATTCTTACTAACACGCCTGTCAAAGCATGGCTTGCTAATTATAAAAAGAAAAAAACTAATAAAAAAAAATTTACTAATGGAAGTAAAAAAGAATTAATAAAATCAAATCTTGCTACGAAAAAACTTTCTATAGTCTTAAATTCATCTTAAGATAAAGAGTATCTGTGCATCTATTGTTTTGAATCATTTTCCAACAGCCGATCAAGAGAACAGTGGATTCAATGTCAGGTTTGCCAAAAATGGGCTCATGAAGAATGCACACCAGGCTTACAACAGTTTATTTGTGAATTGTGTTCTTTATCCAATAATTTAATTTAAAAAACCAAACCTAAAAACATTTATAGTGATAAACTAAATTTGTTAATTGTGTTATATTTAAAATATATATATTTCAGTTTATAGTATTTTACTTTTATTTTTCTTAATAAAACATAAACGAAATTAATTTGTACTCGTTTTACATTAAATTCTTATCTAAACTTGTCAAAATCCAAATGTGACAATCAACCCCGCACCATGTGACAACCTACCCCGTGAGCGGGGCTAGTTGTCACACAGAAGTGGTCTTTGAAAAATGATTTTACAGCAATAAATATTTCACTCAATGTCATAAAATTATTATAATAGTTACTGGAAATAGTTAAACTAGCTTTGTGCAAAGTTTGGCATTGATTGGATGAAAATTAAAAACTGAGCAGCCTAAAATGTAAAAAGTGTGACAACCAACCCCGCTCTCCCCTATATATATATATATATATATATATATATATATATATATATATATATATATATATATATATATATATATATATATATATATATATATATATATATATATATATATATAAATGTTGTACGTATATATATATATATATATATATATATATATATATATATATATATATACGTACAACATACATATATTCACGTACAACAAGATATGACATTGAAACATGACATTGAATCTTTTGCGAGTTTTCTATTAATTGCGAGAATGAAAATAAGTATTACATTTAATTGCTAAATTGGATTTCTATAGTTTATGAAAAAATCAGACGATAACAGCAATCTTTGCAACAAATAGCAATTTCTTGATAAAATTGGGGTATGTTGCGAGAATAACGATTTTATCGCTTCGATTTTTGTGCTCGTAAATCGAAAAAAGACGCATTTCGATTAGTTAACGGCTAATCGTAATCGAAAAAAATTGCTTCGAAATTATCTAAATAACTCAATCGTAAATAATCGCCCGCAATTCCTTTTCTAAATATCGATATCGAAATTTACTGTATAATTGCATTGCTGTAACGCCAGTGCTTAATGTATGTGTGAATGTATGTAGGTGTTTCAAGTTTAGTTTAATCTCAAAATATGTACAGTCAATCAGCATCTGGTAACTATTTTCTTTTCTATTTCTATATATATATATATATATATATATATATATATATATATATATATATATATATATATATATATATATATATATATATATATATATATATATATATATATATATATATATATATTAATATAATTGATGCATTATTATTATTAAACTAAAATTAGCATTTTAAAAGAAACTAGTAGTGACGATACAAGCATGAATAATCTTGTAAAAAGTTTATAACAATTTGCTTGTAAACTAAGTATTGATCCCACTTATGAGTTTAATCAAGCTCATAGGAGAAGATTGTTATCTAAGAAACTAGATTCTAATTGTAATTCACAAGCAATGTGAATTACAATTAGAATCTAGTTTCTTAGTATAAATATATATATATATATATATATATATATATATATATATATATATATATATATATATATATATATATATATATATATATATATATATATATATATATATATGCAGATATAAGTTTTATACTTAATTAAGAAATAAATAAAAGCTCATTTTTCACAAAATCAAGATTTACTTGGTCGACGATTTTTAAAGCCTGTTTACACTAAAAGTTTTTGTTATTATCAATAACTGAAATAATTATTTTCTAATTTTTAAGGTCGATTTTCACTAATTTTTTTTTTTTTTTTGTACACTTAGCAGCTTTTTGACGACGACCATAGAGAGAGATGAAGGAAGAAAAAATAGAAACATAACTGAGCAACGCCCAATATTAAGCAATGAAATAAGTATCGGCAAATAATGAAAGTTAATGCCCACTATCTGATACTATAATGCAGTAGTTAATAAATACATATACATAATTTTGTGCCTGTATTTAAATAGTCTTAATTTAATTTTGTTATATTTTGGTTTTGAAGTACTTTATATAAATATTTTTGTATTTGTATTTGTATCATATAACTTCAAATAAATTAAATGATTTAAAGTTTATTTTTTCTCAAAGCGTGTTTTATGATCATTGTCATCTCCTAAACAATAACCTGTTTAATTCAAAAAAGAATGATGCTTACTATAGTATAATTTTAACAAGAAAACTGTTATAAGTTTTAATTATTAAAAGTTTGTAGAAGACAACATTTTTTAGTAATAAAAATTGCCCAAAAATATTGGCTTAATATAGTTATATATATTGGTATAATATTGTAAACTATATTACTCAAATATTGGCCAGTAATATATCCCCACTTTTGGTAGATGTTATTTACAATATTGGCGCAATATTTTAAACATTATCGCGCCAATATTGCAATGTAAACATTTTGTCAATATTGACTTAATAATATTGGCGCGATATTGTAGCGCTAATACTGGCAAAATGTTCAAAATATTGCGCCAAAATTGTAGACAATATCGCCTCAATATTGCGCAAATATTATTTGCTACTTGTGTTGCTTCTGAAGCTTGAAACTGACCTAAAATTGAAGCTTCCTGCATTAACCCACATTTTACAGCGGCTGATGGCAGTCTAGATATGTTATCTTTAGCTGGTTTGTTTAGCATTGTTTGTACTACTTTTATAACTTTGTTGACACTATTCATACTCACGTTTATTGAAAGAAGTTTCATGATAGTTTCATCTTCAAATGTTATTACTTCCTCGTAATCCAACAAAGAAATTAATTTTTGAAGTTCTTGATTCTTCCTTTAAACTTAAAACATCTTTCATATTGTAGTCATTAACATAGTTGGTTTTATTTTGCAAAATAATTTTTAAATTACTCACCTATTTTTGCAGCTTTCTTATTTTTTAATTTAAAAATCTTTGCATCGGAATACAATGTTTGTATCGGATACAAATGTTTGTATCGAAATTAAAAATGTTTGTATCGGAATTTTCTAGAATTGAAGAAATGTCTGTTGTTTTATTTTTTAATTGCAATATTTTATTTTTTGTTATATTTTATCGAATTAATTTCTTTTCTTTTTTATTTCTAACTGAGTATCATGATATTTTTTAAATTCGAGTTTCTAACATTAAATATATATTTTTTTACTTTAATAGCTCTAATTTGCTCTTAATAATAATTTTATTTTAATAAATTTTTCTTGTTTTTCAAAACAACATTTTCGATTAAAGTTCAATTCAGCTTCGATTAAAGATTTTTAGGTCGTTCGACATATCTTCAAAATAATCCATTTTTAAATCCATCATAGATTCCATTTTTTTTTTAATTTTATTTTCTTTTTTAAACATTTAGTTTTTGCTTATTAGTATTGTTTCTTTAGAAGTTTCAGGTATATTTTCAGGAAAATTTGCCGAAGGTCGAAAAAGGCTTTACCTAACAACAATGCTGACTTTGTACTTTTTTTGTTGAACTTTAAATTTCTGATGGTGTCAACTAATCAATTTATCTTTTTAACTAAAGCTCTCTTGCAGTAAAACAGTTTAACATTAAAATCTACATAATATCTACAATATATTGCATCATAAAATGTTAAATACCAATTATAAATACTTTCATTAGTCATTTTATCTATCATTTTATCTATCATTTTTATTTTCATTTTATCATTCATGCGTACAATCGTAGTCTTTTTTGATTAAAATTTGATGATTTTTACAAAATATTTCAAAATTTCAAACTTTTTTTTATTAACTAGTAACTAAAATTCGTTAGAGATCGTCCATAAATTACGCAACGCAAAAAATATTTTTAGAACAGGAGTAGGAGATATTAGGCTCTTTTACGCGGCAATTTTCATTTAACTTAATTTCCTATTTTAATTGTTTATTTAAAATTAAGACTCTGCGAGGGAAAACTTTTGATCTTTTTCTGTTTTGCTTTTTGTGAAACTTTGCGTTACGTAATTTACGAACGATCCCATATAAAAACAATTTTATTTAATATTCTGAAAAAAAAAAATTTAATTTGACAAAAAAAAAATTATTTATTGGTAAATTGGTAAAACATGATTCAAGTTTAAAGAGAAGCTGACTCATTTTCGTAGATAGCCTCTCTGAGAGCTACTAGAGTTTAGGAAACTTTACTACTAGCCTCAGAACCATGAAACTAATTTTTAGAGCGGTACTCTCATTACAAGAAAAGTTGCATTGCCATCATTAAGGAGACACAAGCAAAAATTTTTGTCTAGGAGGCAAAGACTGAACTGCTTGATGCAGTTATATGCCCAAGACGAGTTTTTTTGTCAAGATACTATTTCTAAATTTTTTGTATAAGGGTACGTTTGACTCTTTCTTCTAAAACTTCTTTTTTTATCAAAAAATATTAATTATAAATTATAGTGAGTATTATAGTAGTAATTATAAATATTAGGAGTATTTTAGGAGTAATTATCTAATTCGACTGATTTGACTTTAAGCCGACTAATCAAAAATCGAAGTTAATTGAAGATGGACGTCCTACTAATCGACTAAAAGTCAATTTAGTTAAGAAATAATCTTTCTATCTTTTCATTCTATTTTTTCCAACTTTTAATTTTTGTTTGTTCGAATAATAACAATAGCATGTTCCATTACAACTATAACATATTGATTATGTTTACTCTCTAGTTTTATTTAACTTATCTAATTCATAGCAAGTTATCTAATACCTAATTAAACTTTCGGTTATATAGCTAAATGTCCTCTTTTAATGAAGTTCGATTTCTTAATAAATGCCAATTTGTCTTTTTGCTATTTACGCGCTCTTTTTTGTTTCTAGCCAACAGTGTACTTGTGGATGCCCATTGATATCATAGCTTTTTTATCAAAATATTTAAAATTTGCGGGAGGCAGAATAAGCTCGAATTGGCATAAATGAACCTGGCATCAATGCGAAGCGTTGAAAAACTAGCATAAAAACGCACTGGCATAAGTATTTGCAATTATTGGCATAAGTGCAAAGCTGTTAAAAAAACTGGCATAAGTGCCTCGAATAAAATTGCAAATATTGGCATTAGTTCTAATTGATATTTCGCACTTATGTCAATGTTTGCAAATTCTTTTGGCGCATTTATGCCAATTCGCA